TGACCCCCCCACCTTATATATGACCCCCTCATCTTGCAGAGCGGGATCGGAATGGGGACTCGTTCTGGGTTTGGTGTTTTCCGTCGGTCTCGGTGGAGCTCCGGCAGCTTCTTCTCAGGAAATGTCGCCTGCAGGAGGCGGAGCTTCCTCTCTACAACTTCCTGTACGGCCAACACCGGAGGACCTGGTACTACATCACCCCCACCCGGGTGGAGGCCGGCTCTGCTCTGGACAAGGTAAGTGCCCCTCATGTCCATCCTCTGACTCTCCTCTCTGTCCTCGGGTCATGTCCATCCTCTGACTCTCCTCTCTGTCCTCGGGTCATGTCCATCCTCTGACTCTCCTCTCTGTCCTCAGGTCACACATTTCTGTCTGGTTCTGACAGCGAGGGACTTTCACCCGGAGAAGTACGCGGCGCTCGGGCGGATCCTCAGCCGGTATGTGTGCAGCAGCCAATGTGCCGCCATTGTTGTGAGAGGCGGAGCTCCAACCTCACCGGCGTTTCCTCTCTCAGACTCTATGAGGAGGCCGGCAGTCCGGTGCCGGTGGTGGAGACTTTCCTGTCGGTGGTCACCAAGGGGACCTGTCAGAGCCAAGACAACGGGACCTTCCTGAGCCGCCACCACGACCAGCGCCAAGCCTTCATGGCCGGATCCATCAAAGGTGCCTCTGACCAAAGGGGGCCTCCCTCTGCCTGAGAGGTTTGGGGGAGTTGGAGGCCATATTGGGTGAAGGTGTGTTGGGAGGGCCAGTGTGAGACCATATGGGGAAGGGTAGAGAGGCCACGGTGGTTGGAAGTTCACTGGAAGGGGCAGTTGGGGTCCTTTTGTGCAGAGGCTCAGTGGGAGGGGCATTTGGAGGCCATGTTGGAGAAGCTTAGTGGGAGTGGCACTTGGAGGCCATGTGGGAGGGGCATTTGGAGGCCATGTTGGAGAAGCTCAATGGGAGGGGCGTTTGGAGGCCATGTTGGAGAGGCTCAGTGGGAGTGACACTTGGAGGTCATGTTGGAGAGGCTTAGTGGGAGGGGCGTTTGGAGGCCATGTGGGAGGGGCATTTGGAGGCCATGTTGGAGAGGCTCAGTGGGAGGAGCGTTTGGAGGCTATGTTGGAGAGGCTCAGTGGGAGTGACACTTGGAGGTCATGTTGGAGAGGCTTAGTGGGATTGGCCCTTGGAGGCCATGTGGGAGGGGCATTTGGAGGCCATGTTGGAGAAGCTCAGTGGGAGGGGCGTTTGGAGGCCATGTTGGAGAGGCTCAGTGGGAGTGACACTTGGAGGTCATGTTGGAGAGGCTTAGTGGGAGGGGCATTTGGAGGCTATGTTGGAGAGGCTCAGTGGGAGGGGCATTTGGAGACCATATTGGGGAGGCTCAGTGAGAAGGACTCTGCCCAGCCTCTGACTCTCTTCCAGATGTGGTCTTGCAGTTTGGGATGGAGTCGGTCATTCTGTATTCGGCTCTGATGCTGAAGAAGAGGATTGTCGTGTATCACCCCAAGGTGGAGGCCGTGCTGGAGTTTAGCAGGTACTTCCAGAGGCGGGACCCGGGGGGAGGAGACTGAACATTGGTCATCGGGACACATGGAGGCGGCACTCCGGGCTGACAACGTTCTCGGTTTCAGGTCTCTCCCGGCTCTGGTTTGGCATCGGCAGGATTGGTCAATTCTCCATCCGTACGTCCACCTCATTCCCGAGGAGGTTGATGCCCTGAAATCCACCTCAGGTGAGACCACGTGACCTGCACAGACTCCTCCCACAAAGTCCAGCCTATCACCTGAATGACGGGTATATGTGGTCACACGGCTCCCTGTCCTGACTGGGGGGGGGGTTCTCCAGTCTTTTGTCCTGATCGGTGGGTGCAGGGGTGGTCGCATCATCCGCTCTCCTGGGAGAGGTCACACGGTGCTCTGGGAGCGGTCACACGGTGCTCTGGGAGAGGTCACACGGTGCTCTGGGAGAGGTCACACGGTGCTCTGGGAGAGGTCACACGGTGCTCTGGGAGGGGTCACACGGTGCTCTGGGAGGGGTCACACGGTGCTCTGGGAGAGGTCACACGGTGCTCTGGGAGAGGTCACACGGTGCTCTGGGAGAGGTCAAGAGGTGCTCTGGGAGAGGTCAAGAGGTGCTCTGGGAGAGGTCACACGGTGCTCTGGGAGAGGTCACACGGTGCTCTGGGAGAGGTCACACGGTGCTCTGGGAGCGGTCACACGGTCCCCTGGGAGAGGTCACACGGTGCTCTGTGGGGGTCTCTGACATTTCCTCTCTGCAGGGTACATTGCGGGATTTCAGGAGGCCGAGGTCGGGAATCGCTCAGATCTGTACGATGTCTTTGTGAATTTGGCCGAGAATTCCGTCTCCATCTCTCCCGGCGCTAAAGGTAAACGTTCCCAGCGGAGTTCCCTGCAATCCTGTGTACTTCCCCCGTGCTGCCCCTTCCCCGGCCCTGCCCCTTTCCCCGTCCCGGCGCTCCCCCTTCCCCCGTCCTCCCCCTGCCCCTTCCCCCGCCCTCACATTTATTGTTCCACCTCCTGAATCCTACATGTATGTGCCCGGGTGGGGGAGGGTAGGGGGCGGTTGGAGGTGATGGTCGGAATCGGTTGCACTTTGTCACCTGACCCCGCTGTGTCCCTCTCTCACGCAGAGGCGCTGACGTTGGGGAAACTACACAAGGAGGTCGGGCAGTTGATGGTGCAATCGGCGGAAGATCCGGATAAATCGGAGAGCCAGGTGATCAAGGTGAGGGGTGAGGATGACACCAGAGGACGCTGCTGCGTGACCGTCTGAACAGATCCCGGCGGTTTGCGTCATTCCCCCAGAACAAGTACGCGGAGAAAGGTTTCCGATCCTCCGACGCTCCTGATCTGCGCTCTTGTTCTGGGTTGTGACTTGGAAAGCACCGAAGCTGGAGGATCAGTATAACAGATGCCGTTGACCAATGAGGTGACGGTGGGAGGAGCAGAGTGGCTCAGTACATTCAGTCCGTCCTTCTCTCCGCAGGATATCTGCGTGAAGAGCGGGGAGATCCTCTCCATATTGTCCTCGCTCAGCCAGGAGACCGGAGAGCGCGACAAGCCAACGGTAAACCTGGAGCAGCTCCGGCAGAAGAAGTTCCCTCCGGCCACAGAGAACTTCCTGATGCACCTGGCAGCCGCCGAGCAGATGTTACTAACGTGATGCGGGGGACGGACATGACCGAGTGCGACACGGGACCAGCAGCCATCTTGTGCTCGCCGAATCTGCTACAGCCCGAGGTGGCGGGTGGAGCCGGTTCTCTACTTTCCGGAGAGCTCCAGATCCATGGCGGACTCGCCTACCAGCAGGACGCGGCTTGTCTGGCACACGGAGAGGCCGGGGATCTCTCATAATAAAACCTTCCCATTCTCAGTATCTGCTGTCATGGCCTCCATTCCTCCAATCAGGGCCAACCTGTGACATCACAGCCTTGTCTGTCCTAAACCAACTGGGGGGAGATCCAGGAGGGAGGGGAGTGAGAGCAGCTGAAGGAAGGGAGGTGAGGGAGACCTAGGAAGGGATCGGAGGGAGATCAGGGAAGGGAGATCTGCCGAGAGGAAGTGAAGGAGATCAGGAGAGGAACATAAAGGGAAAGAGATCTACAGAGGGAGGTAAAACTCAGGAAGGGGGAGGGTTAGAGAAATTTGGGGAGATCTGTGGAGGTAAGCCTAGGTAGGGAGATTTGGAGAGGTGAAGGAAGTTAGAGAGGTCTGGGCAGGGAAAGGACATCATGGCAGGAGGTAGATCTGGGGGGACATCGTTTTTAGTACACAGATCTGGGAGGAAAAGGAAGCTGTGAGATCAGGGGGGGTTGCGGAGTCCTAGGAAAGAGATCAGGGGGAGGGGGGGTTACAGAGATTTGTAGGTGAGGGAAGTTACGGAGTTCATGGAAGGAGGTGAGGGTGCTCTGGGGACATAGTTCTGGGAAGGGAGAGGAGTGAGATTTAAGGGAAGGAGTCCCAGGAAAGAGGTGCGAGAGATCTTAGGATGGAGACCTGGGAGGGGGAACTCGGTTTAAGGTGGGAGGAATTGGTACAACGTCAGCTGTGTAGAAAATAATTTATTGGAGGTGAAAAGTCATCATCAGGACTGACGGGTGCGTGCGGGATTTACAGTCCTAGAAGTCCGTAGAGTCACCAATAAGGTCAGCAGTTCATAAATCTTGGTCTGGTGTCAGATGCCGGGAAGGGTGGGGAAGGTCTTCTGCCCCTCCGGGTCCTAGCCATCCGGCAGACGTATAGGCCTCAGATTCCTCGATAGTAATAGAGTTCAGAGTCCGATGTCTTCTCTTTTAATTCCTCCTCCAGGTTTTCTCTCTTGATCTAAAACAAAAGGTCAAAATGGAACATCGAAACCCATATGGACTGAATATAGGCCAACAACTGAACCCTCCTCGCCCCAGAACATCGGCACACTACGGAAGAGAAGATTCTCCGTCTGTCCCATGAGACAGAACCTTTCCTTTCTCCGGCTGGGTCCAGCACTTGGTACCATCAAGGGTCAGATCTCTGCGTTGGCTATCCTGTTCCAGAGATCGCTGGTGCCCAACTTTTATATGAAGACCTTTGTCCAGGGTGTCACATGACTTCCCTGTCAAATTCTTCCATTGGTTTTTCAAAGGCTTTCCTTTCAGCCAATTGGGGACATTCCTCTTCTTCCTTGATCCCCAATGTGGCTTTTTTTGTGGTTATCCCTTCTGCCAAACAGGTGTCTGAATTGGTGGCCCCTTCCTGTAAGGAACTTTTAGGTTCATGGCAAGAATGGAGTTACTTTGAGACCTTGGCCTGCCTTCCTTCTGAATGTGGTTTTGGCCTTTCACCTCATGGAGGATATGGTCTTGCCATCCTTATGTATTGGGCAAGTTCACCAAAAGCAGACTTCCTCTAATCTCCCAAACATGGGCCCAGGAGGGAACTCCAGCTTCCAGTTCTAGGTGGATCTGCCAGAACATCATAGAAGCAGGTGGTCTGAAGATTAGAGTTATCCCCCTTTCCGGTGAAAGCTCATTCTGGGACATTTCGGCATCAGGTTTACCCGGTCGGTAAGGCTTGCACCGGGATCCCTGTTCACAGTTTCACCAGGTGGACGTTTCATCCTCTGCCGATTCCAGTTTTGGACGCAAAGTGTTGCAGGCAGCTCTGTGTGTTGCTTGCCGTTCCTTGTTTTTGTTGGGCCTGTGTAGCGGTGTTGCCCGCCCCTCTGTTGGAGGCATCCCAGTTGTCTTCAGTCCCCCAATGAACGATAGAAAACCAGGATTTTTGGCATTGCCCTAAAATGGGATTTTTATACTTCTTGTCAAACCTATTTCTTGGAGTTCATTGAGGGTCAGAGGACTCCGGGGATTGTCGGGTTATAATGTCACCTTCAGGAGGATTTTTCGGCAAACAACAAAACTGTGGCCCAACCCAGTGTGACCCCCCTCCTCCTCCCAGCATGTTTTGAGGAAAAGCAGCAACAAGAGCATAATCGTAGATGCGGGGGCTGTGTCCCTCAATGAAATGGATTTTTATGGTAAGTACATACGTTTTAGTATTCTTTCACGTCCAGTGAGAGACTAAGGAATTCCCAGACTGCTGGGATGTCCAAATAAACACTAACAGGCCCACAAATATAAAAACCAACAGAACCTGGTACTGCAGGGGGCTCCAGAGCCACCAGAAGGATCTTTTCCCTGAAGCTGGCATCAGATGAAGCCCCAAACATCCATCTGGTAGAACATGAGATGAGGCCAGAGCATTGACCTGGTAGAACATGAGATGAGGCCAGAGCATTGACCTGGTAGAACTTAGAGAACATGAGATGAGCGGAGAGCATTGACCTGGTAGAACATGAGAGGAGGCCAGCACATTGACCTGGTAGACCTGAGAACATGAGATGAGGCCAGAGCATTGACCTGGTAGAACATGAGAGGAGGCCAGAGCATTGACCTGGTAGAACATGAGATGAGGCCAGAGCATTGATCTGGTAGAACATGAGAGGAGGCCAGCACATTGACCTGGTAGAACATGAGATGAGGCCAGAGCATTGACCTGGTAGAACACGAGAGGAGGCCAGCACATTGACCTGGTAGACCTGAGAACATGAGATGAGGCCAGAGCATTGACCTGGTAGAACACGAGAGGAGGCCAGCACATTGACCTGGTAGACCTGAGAACATGAGATAAGGCCAGCACATTGACCTGGTAGACCTGAGAACATGAGATAAGGCCAGCACATTGACCTGGTAGACCTGAGAACATGAGATAAGGCCAGCACATTGACCTGGTAGAACATGAGAGGACGCCAGCAGGCAACTTTACAAATCTGGGAAACATGCTTGATGCCAAAAAGACCGAGAAGATCTAATAGAGGGTGCCTTAGCAGGAGAGAGTGCACCCCGATCCTTGAGATCAGAAGCTTGGACAATGGTCTGTCTGGGGCACGGAGAAATGGTGGAAGAAGAAGTTGGTATACGCTTATGGGGAGCAGCGAGGATGTCAGAGAGAATTCGTCTGTCTGAAGGAAGCTGTGGCTGTGAGGTAAAGGCTCAGCAGGAACTACGTCCAGATAATGGAGGGAGATCTCCACCTGGAGCCGGACAGAGAACGAGAAGAACGATGTTGAGGTGGAAGGTGGAAGGAACTTCTGGGCCTCAGCACCACCCTGTACTTGTGTAAGGCCAGAGAGGGTTCATTACAGGATAAGGCCACCAACTCAGACACTTGACTTGTAGAGAAGATGGAAACAAGGACACAAGCAAGGCATGGTGGGAGTAGGAGGGGTCACAATGACCCACATTCTCCTATAGGCAGCAGTATAACCCAACAGTCTATGAATGCCTGTGTCCCTCAGTGTTTAGTACTGCACGCTGGGTGTGTGAGGAGTTATCCTCGGTTGGCCTACAGTGTTGCTTTTTCACTCCTAGTCCTGTGTCACTCAATAGAGTGTATGGTGTGTACACAAAGATTGCCGTTATTTGCTGCAGGCTTGGGGCGGGGCCGTCATCCTCTGAATAATCGGGACCGATTTTCCCTACGTACCTGTCCCTGCGGAGGTCATTGTGGAACGTACCTGTCCCTGCAGAGGTCACCCTGGAACGTACCTGTCCCTGCAGAGGTCACCGTGGAACGTACCTGTCCCTGCAGAGGTCATTGTGGAACGTTCCTGTCCCTGCAGAGGTCATTGTGGAACGTTCCTGTCCCTGCAGAGGTCATTGTGGAACGTTCCTGTCCCTGCAGAGGTCATTGTGGAACGTTCCTGTCCCTGCAGAGGTCATTGTGGAACGTTCCTGTCCCTGCAGAGGTCATTGTGGAACGTTCCTGTCCCTGCAGAGGTCATTGTGGAACGTTCCTGTCCCTGCAGAGGTCATTGTGGAACGTTCCTGTCCCTGCAGAGGTCATTGTGGAACGTTCCTGTCCCTGCAGAGGTCATTGTGGAACGTTCCTGTCCCTGCAGAGGTCATTGTGGAACGTTCCTGTCCCTGCAGAGGTCATTGTGGAACGTTCCTGTCCCTGCAGAGGTCATTGTGGAACGTTCCTGTCCCTGCAGAGGTCATTGTGGAACGTTCCTGTCCCTGCAGAGGTCATTGTGGAACGTTCCTGTCCCTGCAGAGGTCATTGTGGAACGTTCCTGTCCCTGCAGAGGTCATTGTGGAACGTTCCTGTCCCTGCAGAGGTCATTGTGGAACGTTCCTGTCCCTGCAGAGGTCATTGTGGAACGTTCCTGTCCCTGCAGAGGTCATTGTGGAACGTTCCTGTCCCTGCAGAGGTCATTGTGGAACGTTCCTGTCCCTGCAGAGGTCATTGTGGAACGTTCCTGTCCCTGCAGAGGTCATTGTGGAACGTTCCTGTCCCTGCAGAGGTCATTGTGGAACGTTCCTGTCCCTGCAGAGGTCATTGTGGAACGTTCCTGTCCCTGCAGAGGTCATTGTGGAACGTTCCTGTCCCTGCAGAGGTCATTGTGGAACGTTCCTGTCCCTGCAGAGGTCACCGTCGAACGTACCTGTCCCTGCAGAGGTCACCGTGGAACGTACCTGTCCATGCAGAGGTCACCGTGGAACGTACCTGTCCCTGCAGAGGTCATTGTGGAACGTACCTGTCCCTGCAGAGGTCACCGTGGAACGTACCTGTCCCTGCAGAGGTCACCGTGGAACGTACCTGTCCCTGCAGAGGTCACCGTGGAACGTACCTGTCCCTGCAGAGGTCACCGTGGAACGTACCTGTCCCTGCAGAGGTCAGCGTGGAACGTACCTGTCCCT